AACAAGAAATAATAGTCTATGGGGGACCTAACACGTGAAGTGTGAATGAAAGTTAAAGGAATAGCCCTAAAGAGGATGCTTCATGTTAAACAAACAAACAAAATATATAGATAAATGTTCTTTCATCCTCAATTACATAATTTCAGGACATCCAGGAAATCTAAAATTTCAGGACATATCTAGTAAAATTTGTTATATTCTAGTATGCCATGACATACTCTTTGAGAACCACTACTATGGCCTGTGATGCTCTTTTTTTGGATATTGGCTCTATCATCCATAGTGTTAGCTATCCTTCTCAGATTTGTATCCTATTTGATGAACATGCCTTTATTCAATTCACTGATAAAAATGGTAAAGAGTACAGGTACAAGTAGAGCTCCTTGAGGTATTCCACTGAAGATTCCGTTTCAAATGGACATTAAACCACTGGCAGTTACACTTTGAGTGTGGTCATCCAAGTACTTTGGAATTCATTAAATTATATTATCTTCCACATTTTTCTGTCTTCTCCACAAGAACAGAATGAAACACTTTATTAAAAGATTTGTTAAGACCTAGGTAAACTATATCTATAGCATTTCCCTCACTGATCAATATTAATCCTATGACCTGTACATGTTTTATGTCTGTCAATATCATATATCAAAATTTGGAAGCTTCTTGAAGACAAGGTCCAAGTCTATGTACAATATCTAATAGAGCACTATTCAGAGATAGGTTGCTATGTGATGGCTATTTTCACTGGATGCCTCATAATGGCACTGCTTACTATCAGTACAGAGCCATCTGTGCTCAGGTGATCAGGATCTGTATGAAGAGGCTGCCAATCAGAATCAAAGGGCATGACTGTCTTGTAACACTTACTTAATTTTAATCTAGATTTTAGGCTTCTATGCAAAACTTATAAAATAAGTAGAGATCCTTCATCATACTTTTCAAGTCAAATAAATGGGCAAATTAAAAAAAAATTCATTTCAATACTCGTCTCTACTTCAACATTTTCCAACCACTGCATAAGTTACCCAAGAGTGAGAGTAGCTCTGAGATTAAACGGAGCTACTTTTAATTGGACTAATGACAAGTAGATGCATCCTGGGAGGCTAATAAAGTGCCACAAGAATCAATAGAGCACAGGAAACCAGGCTTTGAATAGCTTAATGCACATAAGCAGGAAAAGTTCATTTCCCCCCGTAGCAAGAAAGTAATTTATAGTCTAACAGACCTGAATGCTAATCCAAATAAAATCCCACCATGGCCTCCTATTACAGGGCTAACTATGCATCATAGTAGGCTGATAGGTTGTTTTACAAGTTCATTAATCATGCTGTTGGCAAGAGACAAATTAGAAACTCTGTTCCATGGGCCAGTTCCCCATTTCACTGACTTACATATAAACTATTTCTTAGTGGCATCAGTGATTTCAAAAGTGGGTGTTTTCCTGGTTGTAAGGTGCTTAATAATATTCTGCCTTTGAGTGAAACCTCGGCCCGCCCTACCCCAGGCTATCAGCCTTCAATTAAATAGAGTCAATCCAAACGTAGCAGTATCATGTAACTCTTCAAACTGACTACAGAAACAGTTTCCAAATGATGCAACACTGCCATAAATCTCACCGCAGGTGCCCTGGAACTGTTTTCATTTCAGATTAGTAGAGCTCCACTTTTCCAGCCCCTCCAGCATATACCACTCCATCCCAAATCTCTCTCTCTCGTGACCACAGCAAGCTCATCAGAACTTCTCCTCACTATGTCAACACCATCCATGCTTTTCACGCTGCTCCCTCTCCCTTGAAGGCTGGGTGATCTCCGAGTCATAATCTCCAAGCCTGGAGGGGTTCACAAGCACTGGGATTCTAAGAAGTTTTAGGATTCTACCGTGATATATGCAAAGGACATTAGGGGTCATCTAGTCCAACTCCCTCATTGAACAGATGAGGAAGCTGAAGCCCAGGTAGATTAGATGATTAATTCAGTCACATTGGTGGTTCATGGCAGAGCCAGAATTCAAACCCAGGTACTCTGACTGGAAATGCAGCATTCTTTCCATCGTATCATCTAGGTTTTTTTGTTTTGTTTTGTTTTGTTTTTTGGTGGTAGAGGCAGCTAGCTTCATAAGTTGCTAGGTGGCACAGTGGATAAAGGATTAGGCCTAGAGTCAGGAAGAAGAGTTCAGATCAGATCTCAGACACTAGCTGTGTGACCCTGGACAAATCACTTAACCCTGTTTGCCTCAGTTTCCTCATTTGTAAAATGAGCTGGAGGAGGAAGTTGCAAACCACTCCAGTATCTTTGCCAAATGGGTTCACAAAGAGTCAGACATGACTGAAATGACTGAACAAGAGGAGAGAAGACTGTGAGCTAATCTCGTCTACCTCCTAGGCCTTTGACCTGCAAGCTTTACCCCTTCCTTCTTCTATTTCCTCCTTCTCTAAATTTCCTTCTTTCCAGCACTGTGATGCTAAGAAAAGGCCAGACCAGCCAAAATAAAATCCTTTCCTTTTTTAGCCATGAAACAGGTTTAACTGTATAGATTTTTAGCGGTCTCAAATATTTAGAGCCGAAAGAACCAAAGAATTCATGTGGTCCAGCCTTCTGATTTTACAAATGAAGAACCTGTAGGTCAAAGACTTCTCTAAGGTCACATATTTAATAACTGACAAAGATAAGATTTGAACCCAGGTCCTCTAAATCCAAATTCAGCACTCTTTTCACTTTACCACAATTTTAATAAACTTTAAAAGTCAAAATAGCACGAGCGTTACAGGATTTGTTGTTTGAGACAGCTAGGTAGCATAGAGGATGGAGTGCCGGGTTAGAGTCAGAAAGACCAGAAAGAGTCAGACGCTTACTTACTGGCTGTGCGACCACAGGCAGGCCATTTAACCTCTCTAGCCTCAGTTTCTTCCTTTGTAAAATGGGGATAACAATAGCACCTACCTTGCAGAGAGGCGGCGACGATCAAATGAGATGGTGCTTGTAAAGTGCTTTGCAAACCTGAAAGCGCTATGTTCATCATTCATTTTTAAGGGGAGGTATTTCCTTGGCCATATTTGATGGCCTACCTTTCCTGTTTCTGATACCTGCTATTCTCTCAAGTCAGCAGGTAACATATCCTCTCCGGACTTCTCATCGAAATTCACAAATGAGAAACAACAACAGATAACCTAGAAGGAGCTCAGAATGGATGATATAAACAAAGAGGTTGCTCCAGCCAAGATGATGATTTCTTATTTTAGTTGAAGAGTATCTTTGAACTACTGGAAACAATAGCGCACCATGATGTAGTTGTAGGCCTATAAGCTCTGCTTCCTGGCTACAGTGATTTGCAATAAAATGGCTTGAGAAAAACTCCCAAGGCACCAAAGCTCTCTTGACTTGTTCTTCCAGAAAGGTAATATGGCAGTTTGTCTTTGTTTCTCTGCTAAGTGCCTTGCCCAGGGTCATTCGGCTAGTAAGAATTTGAGGCAGGATTAGAAATAAGGTTTTCCTAAGTCCAAATCCAGCGTTCCATTCACTACACTGGATTCATTTGTCTTTTTGCAGCTGAAATGATACAGAGCCGGCTAGTTACATACACTGGCGTTTCAGAGGCCCTTGTCACGGATCTTATTGTGCCTGAGGAGAAGCATCTTTTCAATAAGTGTAGAGAAGGAACATGTGTAGTTGTTTTCCCCTAAAAAGCAAGGAGGCTGTCCTGGAGACTTCTTTGGTCCAGGCACTAGGGCTCTAACCATTGATGCAGTTTCCCAGAAGCTTAAAGTCTTGCCACATGAGCTGGGCTAATTTTTCCCTTAAAGGCAGAGATGTCTCAAAGACTTAACTAGTCCACAGGACTAGAGTTTGAAGCCCATAAGGAATCAGTGCCTCTTAGATTTGATGGTTGCTGTAAGAATAAACACAATCTTCTAATATAATACTTATGCTTTTATATAAAAGACAAGGTGGGGCTTTACCTATTCTGAGCCAGTATACAACTTTGCTAAATATCTTTTTCATGCTATTGTAGCACCTTTCTCTAGGCTATTTCCCTGACTCTCATTCACATTAGAGGTCCAGGTCCCCCAGAAGATGAATGCTACTACTGTCAGGGTTTGCAGGATAACTCCGAGGGCGAGATTTCCAGTACTATAGCTCATGAGCCTCCAATGATATCCCGTTGTTGACCAGTCAGACTTAACTCGCTTTTCTTTAAAACTTTTTTTTTATTTTGTTTTTTAGTGAGGCGGTCAGGGTTAAAAGTAACTTGCCTGGGGGTCACATAGCTAGTAAGAATCAAGTGTTTGAGGCCAGATTTGAACTCAGGTCTTCCTGACTCCAAGGCTGGAGCTCTATCCACGACTCTCCCTAGCTGCCCTCTTAATTAGCTTTTAGAAAGGATATTTACCAAACAGGTAGTAAGAATAGTTGGCACCAAAAAAATCTCCCCTAAACCTGGGGTCAGAGTTCAAATCCAGCCTCAGACACTTATTAGTTATGTGACCCTGGGCAAGTCACTTAACCCTGTGTGTCTCAGTTTCCTCATTTGTAAAATAACCTAGAGAAGGAAATGGCAAACCACTCTAGTATCTTTGCCAAGAAAACCCAAAATGGAGTTACAAAGAGTCAGACACTACTGAAATGACTCAGCAACCAACTTGGGGTGCCCTCTTACACAAATGCATACAACCCAGAGGGGTTGGGCTTATGGCGCTAGTGAGGCTGTTATATAGCTAACACATTGCCGGGACTGCCTGCGTCCTGGCTGTGGTCTGATGCCGGCAGAGTGTGAAGAGAGAAAGAATTGGGCCAGGTGAGAGCAGTGAAGAACAAACTCTGTTTATTGATCTGAGGGCTCAGGCTTATATAGTACTGGAACAAGCAATAGTAACATTACTCTTCATGAAAAGTACAAATCTAATTAAGTGATTTCCTTACTTCCTTGTACCTTGTCTGATACTTTCTTTCCTGCATCCTGTCCTGTACCCCATCCGTTTCCTCCCTTCCTGCATCCTGTTCTCAAGAGATGGAATGGGCGGGGGGGGGGGGAAGGGGGGGGTGTGAGCCAACATCCTGACTTTCACAGCGTGAGGCTTAATACAAACTACAGGTAAGACCCGGGCTGGCCTAAGCCCTCCAGCTCCCCAAAGCCGGCCCTCTACAACACATTAGGCCAAATGGTAAATTCGCTGCTCCTGGTTACCAGAAAACATTTCTTGGGTTTTTAAGCAGCACTTTTCTCTGGCATAAGGTGTCATATATTCCTTGGAGCTATTTCCTCCTAAGATACCTTGTCTACTACTGATCCTTTCTCTCTGGTGACATGGTGAATAGATGGATGGACTGGAGGAGTGTAACCCACTATTTGGTCTCACTCTCCTCCCTCCTTCCTACCTTCTGGTACAGGTGTAAGGGCTGCCTCACCAAGTTGCACCTGTGCCCGTAGCCCTCCACCACTTGGCTGGCCTCCTGATGAACTGAGCTCATTACTGGAAAAACTGCTCTTTCTGTACAAGAAGTATGACTTCATTTTCTTAACCAGTAACAAGACATTCCTGGTGGTGTCATCTGCCTTTCATCCAGTGGCCAAAAGGACTATTTTCCTTTAAAAATGTTTAGGGGCTTGTCCAAATATTGCAGCACCATTACAGGAAAACTCCTTAATGCATCGTTTTCTCTGCTCATTTATTGATTAATTGCCTCCAGTCTTGTCTTTCATTATTCCCTCCATATCCCTGGAAGATAGCAGAATTCTGAAAGATCTCTTTTGCTCCTATTGAAATATAAGTGCTTGATCAATTGATTGCATTTACCTCCTTTTAGGTTTCTCTTTTCTCCTGTGTCTAAATTTCAATAATTCAGTTCAGCTTAAGCCTTTTCATCAAAATACTTCCAAGTCATCTATTCTACGAAATATCCATTAAATAATAATAACAATTAGAATTTACACAGAACTTTAAGTTTTGCAAAGAATGTTATACTTTCTCATTTCCCCTTGTAGGATTATACTTAATTTTCCAGGATGCTATTCTTGGTTATAAGTCTTTTTCTTTCGCCTTTTGAACTATTATGTTCCAAATTTTCTTTCCCTTTAAAATAGTGCTCCTATAGTTTAGTAAAGTCTTGAGTGTGGTTTCCTCCTTTCTGCTTCTTATATATCTTTCTGTTTTCTACTTTGGGGAGACACTTCACCCAAGCAAAGCTAAGCTTAAAGTGATTTTTTTCCCCTTGTGACCAACCTCTATTTTTCTTTGAGGCTTTGGAGTCATTTTCTTCTGAGTTTGTGCTTTGAGTGTCTCTGACAATATAATTGCTCTTTATCACGGGATTCTTTTTTGTTGTTCATTCTTCCAACTTCTTTCTGACTTTGGACTTTATGTTAGGGAAAGGCTCTATGGGCTTCTGGAGAGAATGTCTGGGCCAAGCTTGTATCCTCTTGGGTTCTTCCTATTGCTGCTTTCTTGGGGTGTTGAGTGTTATGTCATTCCAGGATCTCAGCAACAGCTCAATATGGGAACCTGCAAGCTTTCAGTGTTCCTGGAATGGTCCAGTCCAGAGCAAAGTATGATCAATGTGCTCTTGGTCTGAACTATGAAAGTCCTGGACCTGGGTTTGGGTCTAAGTAACACCCCTGTGGTCTTGCTCTTGGTTAGAGTTCCAGTAGATTGCTTCTGGACTAAACCACTGTTAGCTGGATAGCTTGCTTGTTCACAGTGACAGAACTATAGGTTACCCTTTGATCTGGGATTCCTACCTTGGTTATTCCCTTGGTGTTGGACTAGGCTGCAGACTGGGACTAAGGCCCTTCATCATTCCCAGGTTAGAGCTAGACAACTGTTGCTTGCTCAGTATACAGCTTAGGGTCCACACATATTCCTTACTCTGCAATGCTCTTACATTTAGGTCCCCTCCATAGTCTATTCAAGGTTTGTGATTTAGAAGTGGGTAGTGAGCAGCTACCTAGTTGGCTGCTAGTTGGCACCTGTCTCTGCATCCTACGCAAGGTCAGTCCCTTCTCTTCTGGATCTGGGACCTTCTTGAAGTGGTTGAGAGTTTCAGACCTCTTTGAGTCCCAGTACTAGAACGCTCTTGTGGCTGTTCTTGGCTAACCTCTGTTCCCAATATCCAAAGCCTTCTCTGTCTGTCATGCCATGCTCACTTGGGCTGGAAACATGACTTGCTGTGTTTTTTTTTTCCTTGGATTTTCCTCTGTGGAGGAGCTGTGGGACAGAGCTCAACCGTACTTCTTCTTGGTATTCCGCCATCTTGGCTCCGCCTCAAGTCTCCTCTGTTTAAAAAAAAACAAACTAGCTAGCTAGTGTATCCCAGTGGAGAGAGTGCTAGAGTCAGGAAGGCCTGGATACATATATCACTTGTGACAATGACAAGCTGTGTTGTGTGACTCACTTCACCTGTTTGATCTTTGGGCAACTCCCTAAGACTTATCAATGTTATATGTGTTCATTATAATGGGAACTCCTTCCATCAACACAGATGGAAGACACCTGTCTCTTCCCTCCCGGGTCCTTATTCCTGCTCAGTCTTGGGAACCACTTGGATTTTTTAAATCTTTGAGCCAGAAGCTATACTTGCCTAGGAGTTTAAAAAAAATACACACAGTCTTTGAGAATATAGCTGGGATTTCATGAGATGAACAGCAGTGAAAGTGAGGGAGATGGCACTCTCAGCCCTGCCCATAATTTAACAAGCTGAGATGAAAGGAAACGGTGGCCCAGGGGTAATGGATAAAGAGTGAGGTAGAAAGGAGAGCTGAGCTATAATAAAGAAGAAAGAAATCAGGATGGACTATCGGGGCCCTGCTAACACCACACAAAACTTTATCTGAAGCTACCAATTTGTGAGCACTTCTTCAAGAATGGAGGGAAATTCCAAAAGGTCTCCTCTTTCCCCAACTTCCTCTCCCAGTGTTTGTCTCAACAAGTACTATTGTACCATAACAGATACTGTTAATATTCTTATTTCTTTTATCTGAATGCTTTCTGCATTCTGATTTTGCTTCACACATAAAGAAACTCTAGGTCTTTCATAAAGGCTTAGATTGTGTGAGAGAGGGGGAATGGAGGAAGCAAGAGGTTAGTTGGAAATACACAAAATTTAAATTTGAGCAGAGAATTAAACCTCTGTCCAAATATTAGGATTTTTTTTTAAACTGAGGACACTGACTTAGTATAATTATATTGACAACTTTCTGTCTTACATAAACTCCTACAAAATAGCAGAGAAAGAGATTATATGAGACTGAGGCCCCGGTGCTAAAAGTTATCTGATTGTTGTGAAAGGGAGTAGCTAATTAAATCTTCAGAGAGTACAGGAATAGAAAGGAAAGGGAAGTAAGGAACTAAATATCACACCCTAAACCACCCCCCAGGGAGGAGACTGGCCAGGACTGGGAAGGATTCTGCTCGGCCACTTTTCAAAAAAAAGGAGGGAAAATAAATGATTGAATACTTGCCAAGCAACTCCTCCCTCCACAGCTACACTACTAGTGTTACATATGCATGGGTGGGTATGTGTATGTGTATTATTTATGTTCCCAACAGCCAATCTACTTAGAGTAAAGTTCATATTAACTAAATTAAATCAGTCTAGCTCAACTGAAACAGCTTATACCTTTTAGATGGCAAAATTACCTGGTTTATTCTAGAACTCATTATATATCATATAAGCAAAGTGGGATAGGGACACAGAAAGAATATTATGTTTAATGAAAAAAATTAGCAAGAAGCGAAGGGATATAATTAACTGCTCTCACAGTTGAGTAGAAAATACATATGCACAAGTGATACTTTTCAGAATATACATTATTTCTGAAACAAGGTGTCCTATGAAGTGTAATAATACATGAAAATGATTCACTAGCTCCTTCTGCTTTGTTAAGAAGGTAACTACTATCTAAGAAATCAAAAGTATTCACAGAATCATAGATATAAGGCTGAAAAAGACTTGAGCAGTCTTTACCTCCATCTTACAGGTGAAGAAAAATAAGGCCCCAAAAAGCAACTTGCCCACATTCACACAGTCACTAAACGAAGATAGAAAGGCCTACGTTAGAGTCTGTGTTCTGTCATTTACTAATTATGTGACTTTGAGCTAGTCACTTAATATTTTTTTAAAACTAATTTATTCATCTGTAAAATCCTACTTACACTCCCTGACTCACAGAGTTGTTATGAATAAAGCTCTTTGAAAAGTAATAATTACTGATATAACAACACAATATACTGCTTAGCCTAGGGATACTGGAGTGCCCGTCTTCATCCTCTTCATTAAAGGAATCCTCTCAGTTCTGGACTCCTGTATGCATGGGTGGATGGAATTCAGACCTAAGAGAACCCAGCTCCTCAAGAGAGTTGGTAAATTCTTCCCTCAAGTCTCTGGCTTTTACATCCTCACCCTATATCCCCAGGGAAAAATTACTTTAAGTTTAGCTTTGGCTTGGGCGAAGTCTCTCCCCAAAGTAGAAAACAGAAAGATACTCAATGTACAATGTAACTTAGGTATGGAGAACAGCTATTTCTTTCCTCTACTCAAAAGAAATGCCAACCACAAAAACTCACAAGGACATATTGCAAAAAATAAAAATAAACAATGAAAGTAACACAACTACTCTTATACTTTCCTGGGAGGTAGAGTCTCAAACATCAGAACATGAAGCAATTAATGGGAACGCTGAATAAGCATTTCATGTTTCACCTTGATTCTGTACTGTCTAAGCAATTCTTTCCAGATCCACATCTTCTAACAAGCCAGGGCAGAAGCTGGGTACATCTTACTGCCGGTTGATATTTCTTCAGGAGTTGCGGGACGTTCTTCCTGCTGCCATTCAGACTGAGGGAACTGTAACCTCTCATGGTCATAAAGTTGCCTTCAAGCCTAGCTGTGGCCATCTCAGAATTGCTGTTCAGTCATCTTTGCTCAGGAAAGAAACAGAACAGAAGAAGCAGTCAAAGACATAAGCTCAAAGACCTAGGCTTGCCTAGACAGTATATATATATTATATTCCAGGTGTTTGTGATAGCCATGCTGTTGGCATTGAGGAAAGACACGCGTCTCCTTCTCCTCCTTTGTCCTATCTAACACAAATTTAGGAGATTCTTGATATACATGGAAGATGAGGAGAGAAACAGCTCCCAGTTATTCCCTTTCTAAGGTCCCCTGAGTCAGTTGTTGTTCAGTGTTTTCAGTCATGTCTGACCCTTCGTGACCCCATTTGGGGTTTTCTTGGCAGAGATACTGGCCTGGTTTGCTATTTCCTTCTAGCTCATTTTACAGATGAGAAAACTGAGTCAAACAAGGTTAAGTGACTTGCCCAAGGTCACATAGCTAGGAAGTAGCTGAGGCTGGATTTGAACTCATGTCTTCCTGACTCCAGGCCCAGTGCTCTCTCCATTGCATGACCTAACTGCCCACTGAGTTAGTAGCTTTTCCTTATTAGTGTCCAGTCAGAGACTTCTCCATCATCTAAGTACTAAGACCTTTCAGTGTTGACCTATACTGTCCCCAGGAATTACCAAAGACAGTCAGAGCTTGCTCCGTGGATAGACACCTTTGATCCCATTTCCATGGATGATCTATAGGGAGCAATCCCTGCTACAGTGACATTTGCAGGATACTTTAAGATTTGGAAAATGCTTCGCATGTATTTTTGCATTTGAATCTCACAATGATACTGTGGCTAGGAGGTAATGCCACTATTAAAAGAGGAGAAGCTAAGGGCGAGAGGGGTGAAGCGATTTACTGAAGATAATATTAGCAATAATAACAGTTAACATTTATATGGCACTTTAAGGTTTGCAAAGTATTTTACAAACGCTCTCTCATTTGCTGTTCACAGCACCCTGTGAGGTAGATACTGACACTGTCCTCATTGTATAGATGAGGAAACAGACTGAGAGAAATTAAATGATTTGCCCAGGGTCACAAAGCAAATGGATGAGGTGGGATTCAAGCTCAGACCTTCCTGATCCCCAGGTCACGGATCTATATAATACCACCTAATTGCTTCAAGGTCACATGGTTGTAACAACCAGAGCTCACTCTTGAACACAGACCCAGGTTTGTTGGTAAATGTTTAACAATAAGCTCACTGGGCAGGGCAGAGGGAGAAAGCTTGTACACACAGCATAATTTTAAGTCTATCTGCATTAATAACTTTTTCTCCATCACTTTTTTAAATCTAGAGAATCAACAGAAAAATAAATCAAGCCCTAATCTGTGGCATTTGCCTATTTTTGAGGTACAAATGTTCACACTGAAATTTAACAATCAACTCTATCAAGTGAGTTCAAGCTAGTTCCAGCATACTCCTGAACTCAAGTCTTTGGACTCCAAGTCTAGTGTTCCTGTCACTACATGACATCACCAAGGCACACTAAAAATGATGAATGACACACCTCCACTCAGCCTCCACCATCTCCCTCAAAGTCATTTGGATAGTACCACCAAACCCCTGGACCAACCAACACAGGAAATGTTCACTCTTCAAAGGGTCACTTCCCTCTGCTGCACATACTCCATCTCTGTGCCTGACACTTTTGTATGTAAGACATGTCCTAGATCTATCTTTGTCCTTTAGTCAGTGTCTTATTGTCATCTTTTGTTTGTTAATCTAATGTTTTTTGTTTTTTCTTTTTGTTTTGTTTTTTTGGGAGGCAATTGGGGTTAAGTGACTTGCCCAGGGTCACACAGCTAGTAAATGTCCAGTGTCTGGTCTGAGACATGATTTGAACTCAGGTCCTCCTGACTCCAGGGCGGGTGCTCTATCCACTGTGCCACCTAACTGCCCCCATCTTTTGTTTGTATCATTATAAGCTGCTCCTTTCCATGGCTCGATATCCAGCAGAACACTAGCTGGGCTAATTCTCAAGCCAAAGGTTTTAGCTTCTGTTCTAGAGATAATCTCTCCGAAGATCAGGAAAAAACATGCCAATAGTTTCCCAAGATGCAAGTACCAGGAAGAACAGCGCGTGCGCGCACACACACCACACACACACACACACACACACACACACACACACACACAGAGTTAAAAGACTGAGTTGCAAAGGCCTGCCTTCAAAGTTGAGAAGAAACCTATGGAGTGACCTGAGGCACTCCTTACTGGAACATTATGATCAGTATGGATGCTGAATTACAGAGGCCTAATTGCAGTAAATGGTGTTTACAATGTGCCTTTATTTTAGTTAAATTAGTCTTATTTTCCCTTGGCAGTCTACTTGCAATCAACTGTTTATGGCTTTTAACAAATAGTTGCTGAAAAAAGAAAGATTATGCCAGGCACCCACATTATGGGGAAAATGACCATTTGAACCAAGCTTTTCATCTTCAAGAAATTATACCTGTGAAGATCTTTCCAATATGATTTTCATGTTGGTAGCAGCTGCTGTTGTTCTTTTCCTTTAGATTTTGGTGGAAACTGTGGCAACCAGTATGTTACATCAATCAGCCAATCGACAAGCATTTATTAAACACCTTCTCCATGTAAGTACTGTGAGAGGCACTGGGATACAAAGACAGAAATGAAATAATACCTGTTCTCTGGGAGTTTACATTGTAACATTACAGAAATATTCTCAGCATTCATGTACAGTTGAGATTCATATACATTTGAAGCATATAAAAGAGGCAGGAGCCTGTGATTTGTCAATTGCAAAAGAAAAAAGAGGGGGCAGCCAGGTGGCCCAGTGGCTAGAGTTAGGAAGACCCGAATTCAAATCTGGCCTCAGACACTTCGTAGCTGTGTGACCATGGGCAAGTCACTTACCCCCATTTGCCTCAGTTTCCTCATCTGTAAAATGAACTGGAGAAGAAAATGGCAAACCACTCCAGTATCTTTGCCAAGAAAACCCCAAACAGGGTCATGAAGAGCTGGACATGACTGAAATGATTGAACAACAGCAACAAAAGAAAAAACATGGTTATAATCACAGAATCATACATTCTGCAATTGTAGTTATAATCACAGAATCATACATTCTGCAATTGGAAGCCACCACAGAAGCCATCTTGTCGAGCACAAACTGAAAAAGAATCCCAACCACAGCATTCCAGATAAGTGCTCCGAGAAGTCTGAGCTCCAGAGTCTAGTAGATGGGCAGGCTATACCACTATCCCCCAAGGCGATTCGTCACATTTTGGAATGGCTTTAATTGTTAGGAAACTTTTTCTTACTTCAGGACTAAATCTCCCCCTGCAGCTTTTGCCTTTTTACCCCGGTTCTTCCCTCTGGGAACAAAAAGAATAAGTCTAATCTTTCTTCCACTTGACAGCCTTTCAAATATTTGACTATTGTTATTGTATCCCTGCTTCTCTGCTTCATCTTCCCTTCTCCAGGAATAACATCCCTAGCTCCTTCAACCAATTCTCATAATGGGGTATGGATTCAAGACCATTCATTATCTTGGTTGCTCCGCCTCTGGACACTCTCCAGTTTATCAGTCCCTCATTAAATATTTATTAAGCATCAGCTATGTGCCAGGCATTGTGCTAAGTGTAATGTCATTCTTAAATCATGACACTTAGTAGTGAACACAATACTTCAAATGTATTCTGACCAGGGCAGAGTATAGTAGGAATAATCAAATAGACTAGGAGAACAACATTGCCACAGAAATTAAATCAATTGAGCTATGTAAACATCTATATGGAAAAGCTAGGTGGGGCTTAGGGCAGCCCCTAGGCATGGAATCAGAAGATTTGAGTTCAAATCCAGCCTTAAATACTAGCTGTATGGCCCTGGGCAAATCACTTAATTCTGTTTGCCTCAGTTTCCTCATCTGTAAAATGAGCTGGAAAAGAAAATGGCAAACCACTCCAGTATCTTTGCCAAGAAAACCCCAAATGAGGTCAGGAAGGGTCAGCCACAACTGAAACTACTGAACAACAAAAACAAGTAGATCAATACATTTACCCACTGGAAACCTCCTTGAGGTTTTATACCCTAGCATACGGTCAATTTTTGTAAAGATGCCATGCATAGCTGAGAAAAGGTATGAATTCCTTTCTAGTGTCATTTAGTAATTACTAGAACCTTTATCATAGTTAGCTTTTCTAAAATACTACTCAAATTCTTAACTTCTTTCTTATTTTTATTTGTCTAGATCTGAAAGGGGCACATGCAGATCCCTAGCTATTATTTTTGTATTGGAATACCAATATCACTCTCTAATTCAATTAACTTTTCCTTTAATAGCTTATATATTATGCCATTTGGTGCATTATTAGCTATTGACACTATTTTACCATGTGAAATAATGCATAATGCAGTTTTCCTGTTAATTTCTTTTAACTAACTGCTTTTTTTTTAACTGCTTTTTGTCTTATTAGAGATCATGATTGCTACCCCTGCTTTTTAAAAAAATTCACTTGAGACACAATAGTTTCTGCCTAAACCCCAATTTTTTTCTTTTTCTTTTTTTGGGGGGGGTGGAGTCAGTCAAGGCTAAATGACTTGCCCAGGGTCACACAGCTAGTAAATGTCTGAGGCTGGATTGTAACTCAGGTCCTCCTGACTCCAGGGCTGGTGCTTTATCCAGCCTACCTACCCCTTAAACCCTATATTCAATTCTGTGTGAAAGTTAATGTTTCAAGATTGTTTCTTATGAACAACATCAATACCATATTTCAAAGTTTACTAAAAAGCAATAATCAGCAGAAAAGGTGGTACCAATGCCCTCTTAATTCCCAAATCCATCAACCTTGAGCTAGAGCATTCCTTGTACGTTGTGCAGAATTTGACCATACCTTTCTGGATATTAATTCCTCCTTTGGCTCCTAAGAGGTACTTTACAGATTATATTCCCACTTCTCTAGACATTTCTTCTGTCTCATTCAGTGGCTGTCTACGTCCTTTCTTTGCCAAGAAAAGTCCAGATGGGGTCATGAAGAGTCAGACACTACTGAAAAAGGACTGAATGACAACAAAAATACAGATGACTTCCGGTCCTAATATATTTCCTGAGCTACAATCCTCCGACGAACTGCCCATTGAATATTTCCATCTGAATGTACTCTAGACATTTCACATCTGACACATCCAAAAAACAGAATTTATCTTTTCCCCAAGGCTAAACTGTCTTGCTAATTTCCTTATTGCTATCAAAGAGCCATCATCTTTACAATCACAAAGGTTCACAATGTCAGCGTGATCCTTGATTCCTCAGTCTCCCTCACACTACTTATCCAATCAGTTGCCAGATCTTGCCATTTCTACCTCTCCAACATCTCTAGCATCTCTTTCTTTCCTCCACTCACATAGCCACCACCTTATTTTAGGTCCTCCTCACCTTGTGCCTGGACCTTTGCAATAGACTTTTAATTGGTCTGTCTCCAGCCTCTCCCCTGTCCGATTTATTCTCCACACAGCTTCCAAAATAATATTCCTAAGGCACAAGTCAAACAATACCACTCCCCTGCTCAACAGTGGCCCCCTGTTATCTCTCTGACCAAATATAAACTCCTTTGTTTGCCTTTTAGAGCACATCGTGATCTAACTATGATCTACTTGTGATACATCAAGCAACAAGTATTTATCAAGCTTCTACATGCCAGTCACTCTCCCAGATGCCAGACGTACTTTGAAAAAATGAAAAGTTTCCTCTTATAAGAAATATATCTTGTCAAGAGGCGCAACATGGAATATATTCAAAATAAATACGAGGTAATTTTTATGAGGGAGGAGTTAGCAACTAAGGAGAGAGATCAAGAAAGTTCTCATAACAATTTGGAACCATGCCCAAAGGGCTATAAAACCATACATACCCTTTAACTAAGAAATACCACTACTAGATCTGTATCCCAAAAAGATTTAAAAAACAAAAAGGAAAAGGACCCATATGTACAAAAATATTTATGGCAACTTTTTTAGTGGTCACAAAGAATTGGAAATTGAGGGGGTGTCCATTAATTGGGGAATGGCTGAACTAATGTTTCTATATAATTGTGATGAAATACTATGGTGCTATAAGAAATGATGAACAGGGGCAGTTAGGGTGCAGTGGATAGAGGACTGGTCCTGAAGTCAGGAGGATCTAAGTTCAAATTTGGCCTCAGACATGTAACAGTCACTAGCTCTGTGACTCTGAGCAAGTCACTGAACCCCAATTGCCTCACTAAAAAAAAACAAAGAAAAAAAAAAAAAGAAAGGATGAACAGGATGGTTTCAGAAAAACCTGGGAAGACTTATATCAACTGCTGTGAAGTGAAATGAACAGAATCAGGAGAACATTGTACACAGTAACATTATACGATCAACTGTGAATGATTTATCTAATATCAGTAATACAATAATTCAAGACAATTATGAAGGACTTATGATGAAAAATGCTATCCATCTCCAGAGAACAAACTAGTGGAACCTGAATACAGATGGAAGCATACTTTTTCTTTATTTTTCTTGTCTGTTTTCTTTCACAACACGACTAACATGGAAATATGTTTTGCATGATTGCACATAACCTATATCAAAATGCTTGCTTTCTCAATGAGAGTGGTGAGGAGGGAAAAAAATAATTTGGAAGTCAACATTTTTTAAAAATGAATGTTAAAATTGTTTTTATATGTAATTAGGGAAAAAATATTCATTTTTTTTTAAAAGTCCTCATTGCTTTCAAGCTGAGCTTGGAAGGAAACTCAAGATTCTCAGAGGCAGGTAGGAAGGAAAATATTCCAGGCACGAGAGATAGTCTGCAAAAAAAGGCATGAAAGTGGGAAATGGAGTGTCATGTGCAAGGAACAAGAAGGCCAGTTTAGCTGGACTATAGAACACATGAAGGAGAGTGATGTATATGAACCAACAAAGGTACATTGTCAAGGGCTTTAAATGACAAAATTAGGAGCTTGTGTTTAAGCCTAGAAGTAGTAAGAAGCAACTGGTATTTATTTTAACAAGAACGGACAGATCTCTACTTATTAAAGGTTTAGAAAAAAGCCTTGTTCAGGGGCAGTTAGGTGGCTCAGTGGATAGAGCATGGGCCCTGAAGTCAGGAGGACCTGAGTTCAAATATGGCCTCAGACACTTGACACTTACTTCCTGTGTGACCCTGGGCAAGTCACTTAACCTCAATTGCCCTAAAAAAAAAAGAAAAAGAAAAGAAAAAGCCCTATAATATCATGAGAATAGGAACTCCCTGTGTGAAAACTCCCTTTACCAATTCAAACCAGTAACTCATCTATTACTTATATTTTTAGTGATTTGTTTGAGGGTATTTAGAAGTTAAATGACTTCACAGCAAGAATACCAGAAGCAAGATCTGAATCCATCTCTTTCTGACTCTAAGGCCATACACTATTCCATGACCTCCTATAAATAAATCTTCCAGAAAGAATGTAACCAATATGCTGGAAGCCTTCTTCTTCACATAGGTGAGTGTCCATATAACTCTTAACTGCCCTCAATCTTTCTATGTGACCAGCCTGCCTCCTTTTCTGATTGAACATTTATTTCCTTCATTATACCTACTCTGTACAAGGTGATGGTTGGCAATACATGGTAAGTAGCCCACTGATACCCACATTGAATCTTTCCATTTTTCTTTGGATCACCCATAATTTTGATTCTTCAGAGATGGTGGTGTTCCATGATTCACATCACTGGTAGAATACTGATGTTAAAAAGATGAGTTTCTCTGTTAGTGAGCACCTTAGAATCAATGAAAATCATGTACAATCTCCCAAAAGCAATCCAGCCCACCATTCTCCTAGTTAATCCTGGGCCCAACTCATTGTAGTGTTTATCCAAGCAATCAGTCAACCACGTATACACGTGTGCTTTGTTTCATGTGGTTTCACGTAGTTGCCAAACTATAGAATGTAGCTTAGTCATAGTTCATTTGAATCCTCATTGAAATATCAGCCTCTCAATAAAGTATAATAAGAGTCCTGGGTTACTATGCTATGCTTTAAGTAAATGTCAAGAATGCATGTGAGTCTTTTGTGTTCCAAGTATTTCTTTTGTGATAGAAGAAATAAATAGCTATATTTACTTTGTTCATTGAGTATCATTCTCGAAGGGACCATGTTAATCCTTTTGGGGTTGGACCTACATATGAACCATTTCTAAGCTTTGTTCAAGAAAATTTCCTTCATTCAAATAATGACACTATTTGTGGGTTGTGATATGTGGTTTCACTCTCTACCAACATCTTATTCAGAAGGTCAGATGTGAACAGGAAGGAGGATGGTTCAGTGAGCTAATTAGCTAAGGAGCTAGTCAAACCTGCTGCTTTTGTGCAGCTATCATATGGTAAAGATGAACCTTTAAAATCTCTTTGTTCAGGCTTGCCTTGTTCTTTGGAACAGCAGCTGGGAATCTCTGGTCTAGAATAGATCTGAAAATCTGAAGTCTTTCAAATGATTATTAAGCTAAATCCAGAAAATAATTAAAAGGAAAAAACACAAGGAGAAGGGAAAAGAAAAACAGAGTATTGAGAAAGATATGCATGTTACTTGTTTCTGAAATGTAATCTGTAAAAATTCATGATATTGGGAAGAAGAAACATTAGTAGCCTAATAAGAGATATAATAAATTGGTTTTGTGTCATTTCAAAAAGATATTTTAAACTATTTCTTTCTTCTTCAATTTTTTTATTGCTCCAGAAAATAGTTTATATTAAAAAGCCTATGTGGACCTGTAAGTTGCATATGGAAATACTTTGGATAAAGTATCCCTTGCAAATCAGTATTAAGGGATTGCTATTACTTGTGTTATTCATATAAAATTTCTGAGCTTATAGCGTGGTGTTCCCTTTACCACTAGGCTTTAGATGGACTGAATTCAATCCTAGGGAAGTTTTGTCTCAAATAGGGGAATCAGTCTTTTCACACCCTCTTATTCATTATTCCCCAAGCCCAGAGTAAAACTTTAGGAAAAAAATCTTTTTTTTTTATTTTAACATTTTTATTTAAAGTTTTGAGTTCTAAATTCTATCCTTTCCTTCTCTTCCCACCTCCACCCCCCGCCAAGATGAGATGGTAAGCAATCAGATATAGGTTGTACATGTGCAATTATGTAAAACATTTCTATATTAATAATTTTGTACAAGAAGACTCGAACAAAAGAAAAAAAATGAAAGAGTGAAAAATAGTATGCTTCAGTCTGTATTCAGTCAATATCAGTTCTTTCTCTGGAGGTGAAATTGTCTTGGATCATTTTATTACTGAGAATAGCTAAGTCACTGACAGTTCTTCACTGTACAATATTGCTGTTACTGTGTAAAATATTCTCCTGGCTCTGTTCACTTCACTATGCATCAGTTCATGTAAGTCTTTCCAGGTTTTTCTGAAATCATCCTGCTTATCATTTCTTATAGCACAATAATACTCCATCACAATCATATACCACAGCTTGTTTAGCCATTCCCCAATTGATGGGCATCCCTCTGATTTCCAGTTCTTAGCCACCACAAAAAAAAAAGCTGCTATACATATTTTTTGTACAAATAGGTCTTTCCCCTTTTTTTGGATGTCTTTGGGATGCAGTCTTAACAGTGGTATTACTGGATCAAAGAGTATACACATGTTTAGAGCCCTTTAGGAACAGGAAAGCTTTTAAACAAAGCTTAAGTATGGCTTATACATAGGGCTTCTCCCAGAAGGATTGATGGGGTCACTTAGAGAATGATACACAATAAACAAAGTAAATAGAGCTATTTATTTCTTCTATCGCAAAAGAAATAAGTAGAACAAAAATGACTCACATGCAACCTTGATAATTACTTAAAACATGACACAGTGACTCAGGACTCCTATTATAACTTTCTAGGGAGATGATACTTAAATGGGACTGCTGAACAGACATCTCCCCTGTCACCTCAGCTCTCTACCTCCGGGAAGAGCTGTTCCATAAAGGTTCATATTTTCAGTAAAGCCAGGAGTGGATTGGGCTCATTCCCTGGCAGTTGTCATCAAGTTATTACCAAGATTACCTCCTACTAGGCAATGAGCACTCAGATCCAGGAGTGCCTGATCTCTCTCAAAATCCTGAGGTTGCCACCTTCTATAAATGAGGGTTATAAGTATTTCTCTCTTGGCATATAATAATTACTATGTAGAAGGCCTGAGGATCCTTTAACTAAATAAGGCAAAAGATAAGCTGAGTATTAGTAGAAAGAGTACTGGACTTGGAATCAGAAGACCCCAGCTCACCTCCCGTCTCTGATGCTTATTTGCTGTGTGACCTTGAACAAATCACTTCATCTTCCAATGCCTAAAATCATAAGGTTGGACTAGATGACCTCTAAGGCTCCTTCCAACTTTAGATCCTATAATATATATATATTCTTTAGTTACCCTTACTAATGCAAAACTGTTCAGTCTCATAGAGTAGTGTGACTGATCAGGAGTATTACTGTTTAACCCATTTCATCTATGAGGCAAAGCACTGAGGTGTCA